ATATATATATATATATATATATATATATATTTATATATATGTGTGTGCTAATCAGTTCAAGATCTTTATTAAGTTAGGTCAAGGAATTACTACATAATTAAACAGACTATCAATTTTAGAACTCCTTTCTCATTTTCTTGAGACATAAGATGGTTAAAAAAATGACCATATGGCATTAGTGAAGTGCATCTTTTAAAATCAGTAAAACAATTCATGCTTGTGTGTGTGTATGTTTTCTGCAGATGATCGATCACATTTGAGCCACACGAACATCAGAACCATCATAACTTCAAAGTACTGGCTACAATGGGAAGTTTGTTGTTACATTATATGCAAAATCTTACCTGTCTCTTGTTTCTAACTAGCCCCTCACTGGCTTATTCACTGAAAAACTGCAGCATAAGTTATCAAGAGAATTCCTCTGTTGGTGTTTATTTGCATTGTGCAGAAAACGAACTCATCACTGTCCCTGATGACATCCCCAGAGATGCTGCTTACATAACACTTTTTAATAATATATTAATAAAAATTTACAAGGAAGATTTTGCTGGCATGTCAAAGCTGAAATATATGGATATTTCTAGCAATCAAATCGCTTTTGTGGACAATGGATCATTCGTTGACTTGGTTTCCCTAAAAACACTTGAAATGTCAGAGAACAACATCACCTCTTTGACTGGCAACATGTTTCAAGGTCTTTCCAACCTCACTGTGCTTTATCTCAGTGGAAACAAGATTCAGTTCATTAATACCTCGGCCGTCCAGTTCCTGGTCAACTTACAAGAACTGTATTTAGGCAAAAATAAGTTCCATCAACTCGCTGATATTCAATTCATTCTACAACTACCACAAATACAGAGGCTTGAGCTTAGACGTACTACATTGTCCTCCTTTGAAACTAAAGACCTGCCACTGAACTCCTCATCTAGTCTGAAAGAGCTGCTTGTTGAAGGTTTAAACTTCAAAAAGTTCAGCATCACAACACCAGTCTTTCCTAATCTCCAGATGTTAGATTTTGGTATAATTAAATTTAATCATACCATGATGTGGGAAATTCCTGACAAAACCTTACTGAAGAACATAACAGATCTGTATATTAATCAACTTGTGTTGTCCTTTAAAGGAATCCAAAAAGTCCTTAAGAGTCTCGACAAACTGAAAAATCTTAGATTGAATTATGTACAAATGTGGATTAAAAAGGGATTATTATCTACAGTCTGCAAAATACCAACTATGAGGAAACTGGAATTGCATAATATCAAATGGAACAATTGGACTTTGAATCTTGCACCTTGTTCTCAGCTGACAGAACTTAACCTGCAAACCACTTACATATCTGATCTTCAAACAGGTTTCATACAATCATTGAAGAACCTGCGTTCCCTAATTTTGGTCAACAACCAACTGACCAAAGTTCCACCTGGCATAAGGAGCCTCACTCTCCTTGAGATCTTGAGTATGGATTCAAATGTTATCTCTCAGTTGACCTGTGAGGATTTTGTGAACATGACACATCTTACAGCGCTTTCCCTAAGTAGTAACCATATAATAAAACTGGACAAATGTGTGTTTAAAAGTCTGACTGAACTAAAGTTTTTAGATGTGAGCAACAATCTGCTGCAAACATTTGAAGACACATTCAACGTTTCCCTCCATAAGCTAGAGATCTTGGAAATTAGCCACAACCCTCTGATAACTCTAGGAATGGGGGATTTTCAAGGTTTAAAGTCGCTAAAACAACTGGATGTAACATCCATGTCTCTTGAAAAGTTGACCTGTAAAACAGTTCTAGGACTAAACAACCTTAAAGCGCTTACTGTATTTCTTCCAAGAGAATCTGAGATCGACTTCAGAGAACTAAAACACATAGAAATGATCACAATCTACACAAATGCTGGCAGCGCTTTCAAAATTCCTCAACTAACCAGTTATGAAGCCCAAACTCACTTAACATTTTTGAAAAGTCTCACAGTAATTAACAGTGGCACTTCATTTGCGCTACCAAAGCAGATGTTTCAGATTTTTAAACACCTGGAATATTTTAAGGCTAACAGAGTTTATGGTAATCCTCCTGATGTGGACACATTTCAATTTAATTCACAGCTCAAGACTCTGATATTTGCAGATTCAGATTTATCACATTTGAATCCTGGACTGTTTCTACCAATCCCAAACCTGGAGATTCTTGGTCTCTCTTTGTCTAAGTTCAAGTCTTTGGATTTTCTGGCACAAGCCAATCTTTCTGCACTCAGATACCTGGAAGTGACTGACAATGAGATCAATGTGATTAATGAGACTGTGTTCCAGTTTCTCCCCTCTCTAACATACTTGAACCTGGACAATAACCCGTTCATCTGTAAATGCTCAAATGCAGGTTTCATCCAGTGGCTAAAGGGCAACAAGCAAACACAGGTGGTAAACGCTTATCGGTATAAATGTTCCTTTCCTGTGGACAAACAAGGAACCTTGTTACTAGACTTTGATATCAAGTCCTGCTGGAACGATGGCAGCTTCTTTTACTTCATCTCCAGCTCTTGTCTGGTTGTTCTGACTCTCCTCACTTCCTTCTTCTACCACTTCCTGAAGTGGCATCTAGCCAACACTTTCCAACTCCTCCTGGCCTTTCTCTACGACAACAAGATGAGGAAGAAGGGAGATCCTCATCAGTTTGATGCCTTTGTGTCCTACAACGTCCACGATGAGGACTGGGTTTACAGAGAGATGCTTCCAGTTTTAGAGGGACAGCAAGGCTGGAGACTCTGTCTGCACCACAGAGACTTCCAACCAGGTATTTTTTTTCTTATTTTAAATAAGTAAATTATTATACCAAGTTCTAGATATTAGTCACATGTTAATAGCATTTTTGTTTCAGAATCTAGGACACGTATATCGGTAAATTCATTTTTTACACCTGAACATTGTCATTTTTTTATTTTTAGCCAGCTTGTAGAAAGTTTAGAACTGACAGCTTTTGTTGTTAATTATTAGATATAGGGACATATTATGTCACTTCACTGACAAGAAATAAGTCAGTATTGTGCAAGCTGTTGAGTAAAACTGGCCAGGCATAATCCATTCATTATCTTTTACCTGCTTCTTCCTTTTCGGTTCATGGGGTCACTCATGCCCATGTCCAGCTATCACTGTAAGAGAGGTGGGGTACACCCTGGACAGGTCACAAGTCCATCACAGGGACACATAGAAACAAATGAGACAAACAAACAAGTACTCTCTCTCTCACCAAAGGACAATTTAGAGTTACCAGTCAGCCTAACATGCATGTTTGTGGTCTGTGGGAGGAAACCAGAGTGCCCGGAGAAAGCCCATGCAAACTGGTTGAAAACAACAAAGTACATGCTCAATAATCCAGGTATAAAATCCAACATTTTTCAGTCAGGTCATCTAGAGCTGTTGGGGGAAGAATCAGTTTTGTTGTGCGTTTCCTTGACTGATGAAGCCTTCCGGATCGAAGGCGAAATGTTTCAGCACCAAAAAAGAAACTGATCAGATGACCTGACTGAAAAATGTTGGATTTTATACCTGGATTATTGAGCATGGATTTAGTTGTTTTCAACCAGTTTGACAAGACTGTCAACAAGGAAGAGGGCCGGCAATGGAGGAGGGGCGTACCAAAGAGACCATCTTATCACAAGCAGAACTGGTTTGTTCCACTTTGGAGTAAGCTGTTGGGGGAAGAATCAGTTTTGTTGTGCGTTTCCTTGACTGATGAAGCCTTCCGGATCGAAGGCGAAACGTTTCAGCACCAAAAAAGAAACTGACCAGATGACCTGACTGAAAAATGTTGGATTTTATACCTGGATTATTGAGCATGTACTTTGTCAGTTTCAAATTGTTTCACAGCATGCATTATAGTACCAATGTTCTGGAGAATATTTGGACTCTTTTCCACTTTGGAACTGCTTCATTGAAGTCATTGGATCAGTAGAGTTCATATGTTTAGGAGTGACTCACAGGATGCACAACATATGGAGTTCAGACATTGCAAAATTTAGAAATATACTTTAATAAACACAACCATCTATCCATCCATTTTCTTCCTCTTATCCGGGGTCGGGTTGCAGGGGTAGCAGCCTAAGTAGGGAGAGAGTTCCAGACTTCCCTCTCCCCAGTCTCTTGGGCCAACTCCTCCAGGGGAATCCCAAGGCTTCCCCAGCCAGCAGAGAAACATAGTCCCTCCAGCGTGTTCTGGGTCTTCCTCTAGTTCTCCTCCCGGTGGGACGTGCTCAGAACACCTCAACAGGGAGATGTCCAGGAGGCATCTTAACCAGATGTCCGAGCCACCTCAACTGGCTTCTCTGGACATGGAGAAGCAGCGGCTCTACTTTGAGTCCCTCCCGGATGACCGAGCTTCTCACCCTATCTCTAAGGGAAAGCCCAGACACCCTGTGGAGAAAACTCATTTCGGCCACTTGTATATGTGATCTCATTCCGGTCACAACCCAAAACTCATGTATATAGATGAAGGTAGGAACGTAGATCGACTGGAAAATTGAGAGCTTCGCCTTTTGACTCAGCTCTCTCTTCACGATGACAGACTGGTACAGCGCCCGATTCACTGTTGACGCCGCACCTATCCACCTATCGATCTCTCACTCCATTTTTCCCTCATGCATGAAGAAGTCCCCGAGATACTTAAACTCCTCCACTTGGGGCAGGACATCCTCCCCGAACCAGAGAGGGCACTCTACACTTTTATGGCTCAATACCATGGCCTCGGATTTGAAGGAACTAATCCTCATCCCGGTCGCATCACACTCGGCTGCGAACCGCTCCAGAAAAAGCTGTAGATCACGAACTGATGAAGCCAATAGGATCACATTATCTACAAAAAGCAAAGACGCAATCCTAAGGTCACCAAAATGGATCCCCTCATCACCTTGGCTGTGCCTAGAAACCACAATAACCATCTAGACAGGCAAAAGAGAATTCCCCCAACTAAAATAACCAAAAACAGGGAGAAGCCTCTAACCAGCCACCAGTTGACCGTCGGATTCAGACCGCTCCTCTCATCCCATGGTCCAGGAAAGTAACCCCACAGTCAGAAACCACAATACACAGACTGCTGGTAACTCCCAGGCCCAGCTAACAATCATGAAGCTAAATAGCAAATTGTGACAAGGTGCAACAAGCTGGCATCTCCATAAAAAAGTGGGAGAAAGTTAAGAAATGGAGAACCAACAACCACTGGATGTACATGTTGGTCTTTCCTTTCTGCCCTTTGCTCTTCTAAAAGGCGGAGCTTGTTCTTTTCAAAGTCCCGACAGCCAATCAGCAGGAAAAAAAACATACATCAATTAGGTGGACACTCATTCACAAATATGACACAGGGACATGTAACTTGATCAAGTAGTTTTGTCTGAAGATCCCGTTGTTTTGCTATAGAGTAACTTGGAGGTGCTGAATAAAAAACACAACCTGCCTGACCTAAACTAAAACTATGTTTTGGTACTAGAAATCTGTCATATCAAAATGGTTTATAACAAACACCTTGTTCCTGCGTAAGACTCTTCACTAATGCATGTAGCACCAAAACACCCTTGGTAATGATCAAGCCTTTAGGTATCATTTATTTATATTTAAATATGTTTAAATAAGGTTTTATGCAGAAATTTGTTTTGCACAACAAACTCTGACGTAGCAAGTACAATCAATCAAAAACATATTAAAAACAACTGTATATGTAACACAGTTTAAAATAGGTTATGAAAACATGTTAAAAGATTGTTTTATTTGTTCTAGTTCTGACAGAAAAATGTTTGACAAGTTTCTGAAATTAAATCTTGAAATGTATTTATGATGCACTCAATCAGGGTAAAAACAGAAGGTAGTTTTTGCTAATTGTTCATTAACTACAATATGGATGTCAGAATCACCAGTTGTAGGGCGCATCCTCATTTCTCAGTTCAAAGCAGGAGATGTTCTTCAAGTTTGAAGAATCAAATAGGAGCAATGTACTGGTTCTCTTTTTTCTTCTTTTAAAGAAAACTTCTTCTAATGTTATTTGTTCCTCGTTTGATTTTTATCTGCTTCCTGTAAGAAGGGCAGTGAAGTGAGACGACAGAGATGCAGAGATGCAGATTATTTTCTTTCTAGTTTCATATCCCCTCTCACAACTGCAGGTCTACATGTTCAGATGCTCACACGTTACTGGTATCCATCTGGGTCATGGTTTCAAATTCAGTTAATTAAACTAACATTTGCACTTCTCACATTTAAAGGTGTGGTGTGGAGCAGCAGTGTTATGACTTGAATTCAAAAGCTTCAATCTGCTTCAGTCTGCAACAACCAGAAATATTAAAACTCAGGGTCAGGGGTCAATCATGGCTTATTAACCCATTTTATAGTTCCAAGCAAAACTAGAACTTCCAGTGCATTGCTTCATTAAAAAATTGAATAAGATATTGTTTTATTTCCCCATCTGGTGAGACAGTGTGTCTCATGTGAGAGGATAATGTTTAAATCGTTTTAAAACACCTTGTTTGTTGTGTCCACAGGTAAACCCATCATGGAGAACATCAGTGATGCCATTTATGGCAGCAGGAAGACCATCTGTGTGATCAGCCACCACTACCTGCAGAGTGAATGGTGCTCCAGAGAGATCCAGATGGCCAGGTGGGGGCGCTGTTTTATATTTGATTTATCATCTGAACCTGTGTCTGTTGGAAACTATTCTGTCCTCATTAATTATCACTGACTGAAGTGTATAGAAAAAAATATGTAAACATTCTAAAGATTACATTTTACACGTAACGGGGCATAATATATATGTATGTATATATATATATATATATATATATATATATATAACTATAATAAATCTTTAAGAAAATGTGCAAATTTGAAATACAGCCACAATTTATGTATGTATAGATGTGTATAGATGACAGACAGACAGACAGACAGACAGACAGACAGACAGACAG